ATCAAGGTTCTAAAGCATAGGAACACATGGCTTGAGGCCTTAATTGAATATGTCTGGGGGAGTCTGCTTGTAACAAAAGCCTCCCGCTGGCACTCATCAGCAAGCTCAGAAGCTGGCGTTATGGAGGAACCTGGCTTGTGATGCGGCCCGAGTTTTGAATTGCATGGTATGACTTAGGGATAATTACGTGTTTAGCTGGTCTATGTAGGAGGGACCCACAAAAAGGAATCCTACAGCATTCCCTTGTTCATCTGCTTCAATTACGCCGGCAACACTTATTTGAAAATGAGGCTGGATTGAGGGAGCTCGCCTGCCCCTAGAACTCGGCTTTGCACCATCCCGAGGGTCTGGCCACCACCAGTGAAAAAGGACGAAGTAAGTCTCGAATCACCTTTAAATTCAACAAGCACACCCTCGGCACCGCTAATCCCCACGTCAACATGCTGCTCCCTTGCATCCATATGCCAGAAAAGCTGTTTCAGCCTGCTCCCTAAGCAACACCAAGTGTCTGGTCGATAGCCGGCAAGGAGGGAAGTGGCCCCATCATTAGTACATCCCCAACCCTCAAGGACCCAAGCCTTCTTATGGCCTTTTGCATCCAGGTCTCTGCCTACCTTCCCCCCTGCGCCTAAGGACGTCCGCAGTGTTTGTCTGGGCGTGAGGCCGCTGCTGGGCCTAAAGAAATGGGATGAAAGCTCCTGAACTAAGAGTTAGGACGCTGGGGCGCTTCCAGGTTTCAAGGTTGAGCGTGCCATTTTTGAGGGCCATGGAAATTCTGCAAGTTCGTACGGAGTGCTCCTCGGGCCACTCAAAACTTTTCATGTTATCGGGTGCCAAGAAAACCATTGTTTGCGGGAGCCTTTATCACAGGAAAGATCCTTACTTTAACGTTGCAAATAAAAGGATACCAGATACACAACCCTCATGAAAACCTGCAAATTTAAAAGAACACCCTTACCACATAAATGTTACAATGGAAGCCAGGGAGAAGGTGCTGTGTACAGCAGTGGGTGCGTTTCTAGCATCGAAAACATCTTGTGAGGTTAGCATGCTCCATCTTCAACCACACTGCAATCGCTATGTCCGGCACAAGACACTAGACTACCTGCTTCAAAGTGCTCATTAGCACTACGAAGGACACATCCTGTGCAGACCTCAAGAAGAGGCAAACCTCAGTTTTCCACACATGCCTCTACCTTGGATCCTCTGAATTCTAAAGAGGGACACCATGGTTGTTAAGTGGTAGTAGAGGGGGATTGCCAAGAAATGCTGCCAGCTTCGGAGGGGGTTATCAAGGGGTTATGACAAATGCGCCCTCATCGAGGCTCAGGCCGTGTGCTTCACATCTTGTGCCACCAGCAGGATTTTCCCTAACCCCCTCGATGCAAAACACCCATGCTGTTCTAGTCTATGAGGTGAGGCAGTACAACCATGCAGGACCCATTTGTGCCGGATACCAGCAAAGGAAACACTGATAGTAAAGTAGTCTAGGCATATACCCACCTAGAGGACCCAAATAACATAGACCCCCAAATTACATAGTCCTTACAATAAGGGACCCCCAACAGGGTACCTCAATGACCCAGCATCTACGTCCCCTGGGCATCCCACACGCCACTTCTGGGCACCTGAGGCAATGGAAGGCAGAAATGAAATGGAGCTTCAAACTAAGAAAGCCCACATATTGAGATGTGAGCCTTCAAGACTGCACTCCTTCTGCGCTATTATCGGTATGCACCCTTCCCTGAAAAGAAGATATCCTTTCAATTCTGCTGAATATGATTGCAGGTAACACGAAAAATCAAACGGAAGGCCGCTGATGCCCCAAGGCAACGACTGGCTGGACGGTCAAGACCTCCGGTGACCGGCCTAGAGCACAAATGAAAAGGCTCTGGCAGGAGGACTCCAGTAGAGCTCAGCGACTTCTTCTAACTGTTGGGAGAAGATTATTCATTGATCTTTTTGCAGTCTTGGGCAACGCACTAGTCAAGAAGAATGATTGCTGTCGTGCGTACCTTGACTGGGTACGTAGAAAGCCCCACCCCCTCGTGCGGGGCGACTGACATGCACATCCCTCCAAAAACCTTGGCGCATACTAAGCCGGCAAACAACCGGCTTGCAAACACATGCAAGTCCCTGACTTGTTGGACGCCTGTACATCGCTTTCCTTTCATGAGGCTCACACATGCAGCATGGCAGCCAAATCTAACAATGACTTTATGGTGACTGTCAGGCCATATTATTTTTTCAAAATATGCCATCTCTTGGTGAGCCATCCTTCCTGACCTTGCGAAGAAAGCTCAGAGAACCCCCCCACCTTCTTCACAATTCAGATCTTAATTTGGGAGGCTCTAGTCATGATGTTTCTCGAGAATATTGTTCTTTGGGGCATGGATATATAAATCATGAAATATGCCGTTGGTCGGGGCGGTCTTGAAGGGGACACTCGTGGTGACAAGTGCCTTCCCAACCCCCCAAAATCGGAGCCAAACCAGCTAATCTCTTCCCCTTCGCTAAAACACCACCGACCTGGGACCATGGTCATGCAGACATAAAAGTCTGTGAGAAAAAAAAACACCCGCTGTCACCCTACCATCAACATACCCTGCCTTCGTCGTCCTAGTTCCAACTGCAGAACGGGGAGTGTTGAACTAAGATGAGGTGGGAGTGTTGCAAAAAAGAAGAAGGAATTACTTCCCAAACACAAAAATCACAAAACCCTTAGCCACAAAAGGGAAAGAGCTTACTTGGTCGTCAGATCCCACCTCTGGAGGCCAGTGGACTTGCTCGTGGACTGGCCTACCGGCGAGCAAGGTACAGCTTTCACATGAGCTACTCTAAACTCCTAGCATCCCCATTCATTAGCCCGTAGTACAATAGGTAGCCCCGTTCAATTAAGGAGTTTAGATTATGGCTCACATGAGGCCAGGGTTCGGGGCTTAGGGTTTCAAGCAAATGGCTTACCATTGAGAGGTTAGAATTTTGCCTGTGGCATGGCTTAGGGAACAAATGCTAAACCCCTGTGAACCTTACAACCATAAATCCCTGAACAACCCGAACAAACCCATGCCCCACTACTCCCGGCCCCTTTCTATGAAAAGGGGGTGCAAGAATCCTACGATTGACTCCCAAAAGCTGCCCCACAGAGCCTTCGCTGCCTGCGGTGGCGGTGAACGCATCCGAACCGCTGCTGGCGGAGGTACCTTCAAACCGTTAGGCCGTTAGGTATAGGTGTAGGGTTTCATAGGTTTAGAACGTTGCCGCTGCATGGCCTGACAGCACCGCAAGGTTGGTTCCAGCTCAGGTTGTTGGCCATCCAATTTTTTCGGGCTAAGCGTCTGAGACAATCCGATCGCAGAATGTGATTGACTGCCCCGTCGGTTTCAGAGGGGTCTAGAATAGCCTTGGATGCATGGCGCAAGCTGCGAGGATTACGGACTTTGTCAAAGGGACTGAAGAGGGAATTGGGGCCTACATCGAATTCATATGGCAGCTGCCGTGTCATGGCAAAGGTCACTTTCGGGTAGTACCCTCTGCTGCGAAAAAAATCATACACCTAAGTAGAGATTGCCCTACCCCCATCTGCAATAATAAAACCAGGGCCTTCTTTGCGTCTGGGCCCACCCAGAGCCAGAATGCAAATGCCTTACGTACGCCCGGAAAATTCTAGCTCCAGGCGAAATCCTAATACCTGCTATTCAGGACCCCCAACGACCGCCAACATGTTCCTGCGGTGCACCATCGGTCTCGCCTCTCCGGGAATGCCCGGAACCTCGACCAGGCAAACTGAAACCTATCCCAATAGAAGGAGGAATACGATGGAAAATGTTATGCAACAATCTTGTTGTCCCTTCCATTCCACTACAATGTGATACGTGAAGCAGGTCCGCTTTCGTGGTCATTTCCGCAAGGACGATGGAAAAATTGCGCCTACCGTGCAAAAACATTGTGTTTGTCATTTCTTTGCCATAAACGCATTTGTGTTCACTAGCTTCCATGTGCCATTAATATTGTCGAAGGAAGATAACTGTCATCTTCTTGTCCACCATAGAGTACATGTCTTTCCTCTTTACAACGCTGGCAACTTTAAATGCTAAGCGGCTTGGTGGAGATGAGGGAACGGATCCCATATGATAATCCCAGAGCCTAATCAAGCAAAAGTAGATTCCCTGCCCAACACCTGCGTAACATGTCGCCGAATCCTGGATACATCTTAGGCGTCCGCCTGTATCAGGTCTGACCTTGCCATCATGCCAGGCAAAGGCAAGGACTGATACAAAAAAGGAAATGGCACTTTTGCACTGGGCTTCTGCACATTGATTTTGCACTTCGGGCGATCGTAATCATGCCGGATGCAGAAGCTGGATAACCCACGAGCATCGATCGGAAACCTGGCGGCCACTAGCATTTTGGCAGCAGAACGAGAAAACCACTTCAATTTCGTGCCTGTTGCCGGACTTTGGGCAATGACACGATTTGCCACCCTCCCGGGCCTCAGCACAAACAGAACATAACAGAACCAACACCAGAATGGAGCGGTGAAGCTGAGCTAAGCTGAGCGTGGCACGATGCCAGTGGGATGTTGGACCCGGTGCATCCGGTCATGTCCACGAGTCCTTCAAAACACCTTGCCCCTGCCCTGCACACATCTGGCAAATGCGCAAGTCCACTTGGCATCCTTGTCGAAGCTCGTGTCCACGGCGCTGTGCACCAGCGGCTTCAATGTACTGGGCCTAACCTGACTAAGCCTCGTGCGGCTGCCGGGCCAACTACAATGACAGCGAGACGCTCTGCAATAGCTTGAATGCAAAGCATATGGCTGGCCGTAGCATGTCCTGACTGGAGGGGGCCGCTTGGTTTTAGATGCATGTTTTCAGATCCATGCCTTCACATCCATGGCTTGCGCACGTGAATCACAACAGTGAAACATGTTCTGATGGTGTCTTACCATCATCCCCAATCAACATTGCAACACCGTGAAACGCAGCTAAACCGCCCATTCACAACTCTGATTGCTTTCTAGGACTGGAAGGGTCCACTCTTGCGCTGTCTTCCTTCAGCCATTTCACTTTGCAGATGAAAACTTGGCTCAACAAACGTCACATGGTGAATCCTCAATGTCATCGTCATCCTCTGGTTCAAAATCGAAGTGCTTGGCATCTTGGGTGCCGCAAATGTCCACATCCCAACCTGAACGGTGCTTGCCCCATGGAAAGCACACAGATGCACAGCAATCCAGACTTGCACCATACATGCTTGCGGTCTGTGATTTATTTGGTTGCGTCCGGAAAGCCCAACGCAGTGCACTCCTGCATATTTTTGCATATTGTAACGTGTCCATAGCATGATCACGCATTCCATGCTTGCATGTGGAATGTATGCTGGCAGCTGCAGTGCTGTTCCGAAGCCTATCAGGAAAAAATCCTCCAGAACTCTGCACAATTTGATAAAGCCTTTGGTCCTCATGTAACTGCCTGCAAGTGGTTGCCCGTTTCTCGGGGTGATGGCGTTGCTTGGCATGGCGCATGTGCAAGGATCTCGCACGCACCGGGGTCAGCACAGAATTCGGCCATGTTCTCACCAAGGGTCAAAGCCTCTACACCATGCAGGATTCAAGGTCCAAGGATCCATGAATCAAGCAAACACTTGGCGCACGACATCCACGAGCCCATCACCAAAATTCTCGAGCACGTCGTCACATTCAAATTGTAACTTGGCATATGTATTCCAGAATGACATGATCCACTGATTTGCTTCCAGTGGTGCACGAAAAGTCCCCGACGGTCGGATGGTGAAGCGCATATCCTTTAGGGTTTGGCAGCGCTGCCAATGCATTCCTGGCAGCAATACCAGCAACAACGTCGCACACTGGGCAAAGCCGCGGAGTCTAGGCATTGGTCCTGTTGCAGACCCGCTTTGTGATCAGTTCCAACACTTTGGACTCTGCTGCCTGCGGCCGGGACTGACGGTGCCATGTGGTGGTAATAGTAATGACGGCCGTTCAAACTTTTACCGAAAGAATTGTTCTCTGAAGAAACGGCAATGTGAAACACATGTTTTGAAGTCTCCGAAGCGACGGGTCGGGCAAATTGGCTCAAGGAAACTGTGAAACCAGAACTCTGGGGCATCCGAGAACATTAATGTTAACCTATCATTAATAACGGGAGTGGCAATAATATATTGTTGCCGGACCAGAAAAATTCCCAGCAAACTACCACGCCTAAACAAGGTCCATTGGCAAAAGGGGGTGGCCGCAACATTATTATCCGCCCGAAAATATCCCGATTTTCAAACACCGGTTGCCCGAGAATTTCCTTCTGAGCAGCAGCTTGGGCGTTAGCGTTGGGGGCTGCGGGGTGGCTCTGCCGGGACCGCAGGTTGCGGCTGCTGCTGCTGCTTCTGCGGCCGCTGCTGCCGCCTGGGCAATGGCGACATCATGCGTGATGCCAGCCGCGGTGGTTTCGCGGTTAGATGGAGCACTGGTGCCATTGTTGGGACGCTCGACTTCGTCCCCATCAGCGTCTGTTTGGACGCCCCCGCCACCATGGGCCGCATTGCTGGCAGCGGGATGTCCATCAACGGCCCGAGGAGCGGCCGGCTGAGATGGCTGAGGGAAAGCATCCGAGCGACGATTGATTTCAGCTGCAAGGGTCGGCCCGCCGAAGAGCTGGAGGCAGACATCCTGGGCGGTGGCAGGGATGTACCCATTAGGTTGCACGAGGTGGCGCACAACCCAGCCGATGTGCACCAAAGTGTTGGGAAAGAGCACCAAGGGCTCTGCGAGCAGCATTTCAGGCAGCCGCGCATCGGCATGCGTTGCCGCTGCAATGCACGCGTCAACCAGCGCCTCAGCAGGCACCGGGTCAGGGGCTGCAAGTGCGCGGCGGGCATGTTCCCACCATGGCACAGCGCGCGGGTCAGCCCGCCACGCCTGAAGCGCCGGCTCGCGGAGCTCCCCAACGGCAGCGCGCAGCAGGGGTACGTACAACCAAGAGTTGGTGGCCGGGACGCCGGCACGGGGCGGCTCAAGCAAGGCCCACTCATTGCACGCGCACGTGGCTCTGTGAGTGCTGTGGCCTCCTGATCGGCATCTGTAGCCGCGGCGCTCGGCTGCCTGGCGGCGCCTGGGGCGTTGTTGGTCGGCCCGGCGACAGCTTGCGCATTGGACAGTGATGCCCTTTCTGTGGGCGGGGCGATTGGGGCCTCCTCAGGCTCGGGCTGTGCAGGCGGGAGTGGCCGTAGGGCTGCCAAGGATGGCTGCTCGGCTAACGCTGTCGTAAGCACTACGGCCGTGGAGCGAGACCACCGTGGCCTCGGGGTCAAATTCTGCGGCTGCCCGGAGCATGGCCGCTAGGCTGTCGGTCCCTGCTCGAGTGCTCAGGGCGAACTGGAAGGGTCGCGTGGCTTCATCAAACACATGGGCGAGGGCTCGCACGAGTGTCCGCGAAACCGGCCTGCGGAAGACATCCCCCGTGGCTATGCCTCGCACGCCACCTGCAGGTTGGCGCAACGTTGTGAGCCGCGACATGGAAAGCGCATTGAAGACATCGGTCGGCACATCAGCCCGCGCCAAGCAGTTGACGGCAAACGTCACGAGCTTAAGAGCTGCAGGGTCGTCTAAAAACAGCTTGTCGTGGTCGACTGTTGCTCCCGACAGGCCAGGTGCCGACCCTCGTTTGGCGCTCCTCAGGGCTTCCGCGACCTGCCGCACCGACAGGGCAACTGCCTCTGCCGGTTCATGGCCCAGCACTTCTGCAGGGATCTCGCGGCGCCGAAGCGGTGGCCTTCGCGAGGGGTCCGACAACGCCTGCAGAGTGTCAGCGTTGCCGGGGGCCAAGGTTGCTGCTGTGAGGGCTTGCCGCGCTCGAGAGAGCTGGCCCTGCCGCACCCTTTCGCAGGCTTCTTTGTGCACGGCTTCATCAGCACGGGGCGCACAGCCGTCCTGCACGAGCTTCCCTCAACAGTTGTTCCCACTGGCCGGATTCGAGGAGTTCAACACGCCGCAGGAGGGTGGAGCGTCCCACGGGGCCTGTGTCACGGCAGCGGGCCAGGAGCAAACGCGGGGCGAGCAGGAACAATTTCCAAGCCGTCTCGCGGGAGGCTTCATCGCGCCGCCGCATGGCAACTTGCAAGTCCGCCAAGCAGCGGGTAAGGGACCTCCGCACGCCAGCTGTCAAGAAACGGGGCACGGAGTGGAGAGTGGGCAGGCGCTCGCGAAATTCCGCTGAGAGGTCGATCGTGGTCAACCAGGCTAATGCAGCAGGGGACGGGCTGCCTATTGCCGGCGCTTCGTCCGCGGCACCTGCTTCCAAGGGCTCAGCCTCGCTGTCCGCCCCTTCAACTGGGGGTGGTGTGCTGGGCGCTGGCTCAGCACGGTCCTGCGCAACGTTTGCCTGCCGTCCCGCCCCATCCTCGTGCTTGGGGATGTTTTCGGGGAGTGGGTGCGCTTCGGCTGCCGATACGTCCCCATATGTGATTGTCAGGCGACGGCAAGTGGGCTGGGCGACCGCAGCCGACGGCGCCTCGATGCGGCGGAACTCGTCTGAAAGGCGGTCTAGGCCCGCTGCGAACTGTTGCCCGCCATACACCGTGAGGCATGTCTCCTGACCCGCTGCGCTGATGTAACCATCAACATGCGCAAGGTGGCGCACAACCCAACCAAGGTGCACGAGCGTGGAAGGCGGAAACACGGGCGCCTCTGCAAGAGCGGCTGCTGGCAAAGGCTCGGCACGATGGCTAAAGGCCGCGATCAGTGCCTCCGTGAGTGTGGCCACTGGGACGGGGGCCGCAACAGTGAGCGCGCGGCGAGGTTCCTCCTATTGCGGGGCCCGTGGCTCCGCACGGTTTGAAAGCGTCCCGAGAGCGGCATGCAGGATGGGCACGTACAGCCATGAATTGGTAGCCGACTGGGCGCGATCTGAGGGTGGACCGCGGTCGTACCACGTCCCCCTTGGCGGCTTCTCCCCTCGCGCTGCCAAAGTGGGCGCGTCAGAGGGGTGCAGTTGTGCAGGCTGGGTGGTCGGCAACTCGCGCGTGCGGGTCACTGCAGCCTCAGATGGTTCAGCCGAAAACAAGGCGCCGCGGCTACGATGCAACTAGGCAATTGCGCCTGCTTTGGTGGACCCCAAGCTTGCGCCCAGGGTGTGGTCCGGGCGCTCACGCCGAGCCAGTCCTTAGTTACGTGTTCGGCGGCGCCAGGACGGCAGCCAAGGTGGCAAGGTCTGAGGGACTGGCTGCAAGAAAAAGGGTGAAGACGACACCGCAAGGCTGGACTGCCGACGACGGGTCAACAACAACGCGTGCTGCCTGCACCGGCGCAGCGCGCTGGTCACAGAAAGCCCGGAAGGGAGACGGACCAGGAGCACTGCCAAACTGAAACTGGTAGGTGTTTGTCTCAGGGGCAGGGCTGCTGAAGGGGCTGGCGCTGGCAGAGGCTGCCGTGGAGGGATTGGCGCGCTCTGCCGCTCGCGCACGCCGGGCCTTGACACGGTCTCCTGCCCTGGCGCCACGGTGGAACCGGCGGACTGGTTGAGGCTCCTCCACCACGCGGGCTGCCGGAGCGGCGCACCGCAATGGGGGCGGTGGCGGTGCGGGGGGTCGCCGGTGAGGAGGCTGAGGCGACCGGCGCCAGCTGCGGGAACGGCTCATTTTTTCCACCCGTGAGGAACGAACTGGCCGCTCCGCCATTACTGCACATGTGTCTCTTGTTGCGGGCATTTGCCAAGCGCAAAGGTCCCTGCTAATTGGCATTGAACCACATGGTGCTTTCTGTGGGCTCAATGATGCCTGAGAATTTTGAACATATCTTTTTCCCCCCCGGACCTTTTTGCATCTGCCGCATTTGTTTTGGTCGGCGGCTGTCCATCATCTCCTGGAACTACAGCAGCAGCAATCGGCTGGGATCGGCCAGTGCGCGGTTTTATGCCGCGGTTTTAAACGGTTGGTCGTTTTTGACATCTTCATTAATGGCCGTGCAACCGCCTTAAAACGTGTTTGCGCGGGAGTTGCCTTGGATTTGACAGCAATGCCTCGCGAACCCAATTGCTTCTGTACGCTGATGATCTGGTCCTCTTGGGTGACAACGCCATCGAGTTTAAAAAAAAGCATTAGACGCGGCGTACAGCTGGGCAAGCGCGTGGCGTTTTCACTTCGGTGTGGGCCCCACCAGGTCTGCTGTCATGGTGCTAGCGCGCGGCCATGCTAGCGCACAGGGTTTTCATGTTGGCGATCTTAATTTGCCGCAAGTGCGAAGCTACATTTATCTCAGTGTCACCCGGTCACCCTGCAAGAGCTGTTGTCGTGGAACTTCACGTTTGTGAATTCCGTTCAACGTGGTGAGCGTAAAATGGCCGCTAGTATGTCCTGGACAAGCTCAGCAAACCTGCCACTTTCCTTCGTGGAACGCATTTATCAAACATACATGCACCCTTCCCTCACTTTTGGTTTGGAGCTAACCCGTGCGGGCCCGCAGATAGTGTATTTTTCAACGGGGGCACCGCCTGCTTGGCTGGCCACGTGGTTCTAGCAATTCAGTGGTTCAGGGAGAACTTGCTTGGCAACACGCCAACACTGTTCGCCTGTCTCGCGCGGCCGGCCTGTGGGCCCGCCTCATCAGTTTGCCCCGTGGATGTATGGCAGGGCACCTTGCGCGTCACAATCCTTGGCATGGGTTTCACCCATTGCAAACGAACGTGGGGCTGCAGGTGTGCTGCATCCCGGGTCATGCCGGCCAAATCTTATTGGGCAGTTTTCGTGCAAACTACCCTCACTGTTTGCAACAATCCTCGGAAAGCTTGAACCCCCACATGTATGGCAACCTGTGCCACGCTTGCATCCTGTTGTATATGGTCACAACACTCATGCTCATCATGTTCGATGTTGAACACCTCCCCGGTGTGGGCACCATGTTTTTGCCAATGGGCGTTCCGCTCGTCATTGCAACACCTGCCT